TTGTTTAAAAATAATCTCTTCTTGGATCATGCTCAGCGAAATAAGTCAGAAAGAAAAAGAAAAATACTGGATGGTCTCACTCATAGCAGGAATCTAGAAAACCTAAATAAGGGACCAGGAAAAAGAATAATCAATACAAAGTAATCATCAAAATCAACAAGCAACTATAAACCAGAGACACAGTATGGGGGGGGGGTAAGAAGGGGAAGGATGGAGAGAAGAAGAACTAGAGTCAAAATAAGGGGTGGGGGGTGCAATTGTATGGGGAATATAACCAAAATGAAAATGCACACATTGTGCAAAGATGAAAAGTGATGTAAGAATTATATAAAATAAAATATTAAATTTTTTTTTTTAAAAATCTCTTCTAGGTTGTTATTGTTATAATTATTATTAACACAATTGGTCAAAAAAACAAAGAGTGTAAGTTTTCATAAACAATTACAACTCACAAAAATTAAATTTTAGTTTATCTCCTTCTGAGATAAATGAGCCTTTTTATCTTTTATAGGATTTCTAATTCATTCACTTATCCATAACTGAATATTGGCTTAACGCTTTATTTTTTTAGATGTAAACACTGTTCCCGTAAATCCACAGAGAGGAATGGGAGTAGTATAACCAACTTGTATAGCCAAATTGCTTAATTCTTTGAGCATACTCTGAATTATGTAACCATATAGAGATCTACTATCAAACACTATTTTTAATGTCATGCCAGCTGGTTAACTCCTCTAAATTGGTAAAAGCAAAGAATTGGAAAACATTTGACTTGCAAAAGCATTTGTTACCCAGTCATTAGAGTCATTCATTCACTATCTCAATTTCTGGGAAGAATTCCAAAAGTACTTTACCAAGACTTATCAAATAACTATTAATTATACCCATTACTCTTTCACTTAGAGCACCTTGGATTATCCAAATTATTCAGAAAGGATTAGGAAAATCAAAATATTATTAATCTCATTGCCAATATAATACAAAAATAATAAAATATTTTTGTTACTCCACATATGTTTTATCAAAAAACTTGAAGCTCCAGCTTTTGCTGATTTAATTTACGGAAAATCCCATGCTATAACTTAACTGGCAGAGACAGGTCTTTTAGACAAGAAATCAGCCAAGTCAAGTTTCTCCAATAAAGACCTGACTTCCCTTTTAATTTAAAGATTTTTTTGATGTATGTTTCAAGAAATGACAAGAAAACTGAGAAATAATAGTGGAAATCATTTTCTAAAAGCAATTGCTAAAAAATTATCAATATTAAAATAATGCAGGGGCCTCCCTGGTGGTGCAGGGGGTTAAACGTTGCACTATGAAGCAATCTGCAGTTACTGCAGCAAGAGTTCAATCCCTGGCCAGGGAGGTGACCCACATGGCACAGCAGACCTCTCCTGTTTCGCCTGTTGCTTCCTTCAGCAGTGTATTTCAGTCAATACACTTGTTCTGCTCCCCAATCTGTCTCTGGTGAATCCTCTCACCCCCACACCTCTGGCCTACACCCCAGCTCTTGTATGCATAAATAAATAACTCTTTAAAAAATTAAAATAATGTAGACCTAAAATAAAATTTGATTTATATATATATATATTATAAAACCAAGATAAAATAATTTACTGAATTTTTAATACTACAAAGTAATGTGTAGTTAACATTGCAAATTCATTAAAAATCTAAAGATATGATATTTTTAAAAAGTATTGCATTCTTTCAGCAGATGGGTGTAGTATGTATTAAACTGTGGCATTCATCTCAGGGAATGATTAAATAAGATCTAAGGGTAAAAAAAAATCACAGATTATAAAATTATTTTTTGCTGCTCCCCTGAACAAACTTCCCTAAGTAATTGAAGAACGAAAAAGGTATTTATTCCTTAAATCTAACTAGTCCAGCTGCTAGCAATTAATTTTCTCCTTTGTTAATAGGAAGTAGAAATTAGTATAAATATTTCATAAAATGTTTTGACAAAGTAGACTTTAACTGCTTTCTTAAATAATCTGTATCAAATTTGGAAAAAATCATATAAAACTTGTAGCTGTGGATTTTATCTAATATATCTTGAAAAAAAATTGGTCTTTCTCAAAAATATTCTCATTGCCTTTGAAAGAATCAGTATCATTCATTAACCTTTCCAATCTTTGGCTCTGCAAAGAAGCATTTCTTTCCAACTAATGACAAGTAACTGAGAGGAATTGCTTGCACTTAAATACATGTCCCCAAAAGTCATTTTTAGTCTTTGATGTGTCCTAACAGTGCTCTCTTTCCTTAGCTCTAAAAAGATAATCCCTCAATAACCAAGCACAATTTGAGAATAAATGTGATAGAAGGGATAAAATGAATTGGAAACTTTCATAACCACCCCCCTAAAACACACACACACGCTCACACACACACAATATCATATGTCAAAAGCCAGAAAATCCCTACACTAGGCAAAATACAAAATTTCTCAACAGCTATCTGTTTAAAACATGTAAATAATTTATGGAGGCCTAAAGGTTTATAGGTGATGAATGGAGGCTTTTTCAATTGGTCCCTGACTCTCACTAAGATTTCGGAGTATACCTTTCTTTTGCAAAGAAATAGAACAGAGGGCCTCCCCGGTGGTGCAGCGGTTGAGCGCTGGGTTGTGAAGCTGCCCGCAGCCTCTGCAGCACCAGTTCAATCCCCGGCTGCTCCCCGGCCACTGGAGGAGGGTCCCACATGGCGCGCAGACCTCTCCTGCCGCCCGCTGCTCCCCTCGGCAGTGTACTTCGGTCCTTCTGCCTGCTCTGCTCCCCGCTCTGGCTCTGGTGAATTCTCTCACCCTCCCGCGCTTCTGACTGTACCCAGTGCATGTATAAATAAAACAAACAAACAAATAAATAAATAAAACATGCCTCTATTAAAAAAAATTAAAAGAAAAAAAAAGAAATAAAACAGCTATTTTAGAAACTCTGTTTATTATTAAGAGGATCATTTTTAGGAAAGAAGACAAAAACTGAGAGTTTTTAACACTATATGTGCTTACATTTCCCTGGGACACCTTTGGGAAACTGGTGGAGGCAGTACATTTAAAGTGGTTTGAAGATCCCTGTCCTAATGACTTAGGAATCCACATTATGCAGCCCAGGGTGGCAAGAAATAAGCATCCCAAAGGGAGGTAGAAATCTTAAAACGTTGAAAATGCTGCATGGGAAAGAATGCAAATCAAGAAAGCCCTCATGAAGGAATTACAAATGCCTTCCTTCACAGAAAGATGAAGACCTATCAGATGCCCTTGTAGAAGGAGATATTTTTCTCCCATATATGGTAAACAAGGAACCACAATTAACCAGTGGTGGATGCTTTCTACCAGTGAATGTATAATAAATCATTGTGGTCTATGGGAGACTGAAATAAACTAACTGACATCTTGTCAAAGCTGCAACCAAGACAACATCACCACTACCCTCTCTCTCTAACGTACATGAATATCTATTGATATTAAGATGCTGAGAAGAAGGATGAAGCCCTGGGCCTAAAGGTTATCTAGAGTTCTTGCCCCAGGAATGGAGGATTGTCCTATTTTGACTTTCTGTGAGTGTGGGGATAATGTTGTGATAATATTGTGTATCCAATGTGCCACCTCTTTGGTCCTTTCAAGGATGGTTGGAAATAACCAGTGCAAACCGAAAAATCCTGAAGGACGCCCCCTCCCATTACTGGGGTGACAGCCTGGACTGCAGCTGCCCAAGGAAACACCACTTCCCGCACACACTGGAATGAGACCCTCTTGGCTGGATGGGGAGAATAACAAAATCGAAGAAAGTAGTATTAACCTAAGGATTTAGGGCTTTGAATTATTCCTAAGGGTTAAGAAATTTGATTGTTTGGGGATTTTTCCCTTTATTTTCTCCCTGGAAATTTACAATGGGGTAAAGTACCATGCTACAGTTTTGGGCAGTTTCAGTTAAGTATGTTCAGAATATCTTATGTTGCCATACTCACCTTGCAGCCTCTGGTGACCTGTACTGGATAACAGGCTGAGCGAACTCCAGGTATGGGAAAGAGAAGAGGAAGCACTTTTTGAGGCTTAGTTACGAGTTCACTCTCTTGAGTGAAGGCCTTTGCCTTGTGCAAAATGAGCCAAACACACAGGAAGGAGAGAAAGGACACGCTGGGCTGGACAGAGAGGCTGAGTTTGGAGAGAAGCTGATATGGGAAGGGATTTGTTATTTGTGGAAGGCTTGTATTTGGTGATGGGAAAAGAATGGCAAATATGTAACATAGTATTCCCGTAACTAAAAATAACATGTAAATGACTTTCATAATGAAAACCTTATGGAATCTGCTTTTCTGGGAAACTTTTAAAACAGGAAAGGGCAGGAGAGGGAAATGGCCTGTATTTAACCCACACTGTGTGCTAAGCACCTTCTCTATATCGTTTGCTTAGTCCTCTCACTTTTTTCTTGGGGAAGTTTTTACTTTATAGATGAGGGAAAATGAGGTGAAAAGGTTAAGAAACTTGATCAAATAGATCTCTCAAGCTCCAGAGACCTTGTCTTTGTACTGTAGAATCAAGCTGGAGTCTGACTAGAGGTACAACCTGGACTATACGACCTTTCTAGATTCTTCTGTGTTGCCAGGACTTCCAAAAATGGCTTATTCCCTACAGGTGCCTTAAGTCTTTCAGGACTAAGGACCCACTGTGTGCACTGTGAACAACAACTCAGCACAGACTGAGGGCAGTGGGAGTGATACTGAGTGCAATCGGGAGGTGCTGGGCCTCACCACTGTCACGCTGTGTGACCTTGGGTAAGTCTCTTTCCTCTCTGGGATCCAATTTTCACTAAATGCTTGGAAAGCCTCTGCTCGGTTCTCACAGTACTCTCTCTGGTGCTGGAGTTCATTTTGGTGGCCTGAGGAGGATGTCTCCCCAAAAAGTCCACCTCAGAATTTCCCCAGCCTGACCCAGTCTCCCTGCCTACCCCCTCAGCCCCAGGACTCTACACGAACACCCATCTGCCACCTGCACTGACCTGCACCTCCTGGGTCAGGGCCAGCTCCAGCAGCTGCCCAAAGTGCTGGCCCAGCATGCTGAGCGTCTCACTCACGCAGGCCTTCATGGACTTCAAGACGTGCTCATTCTCAACCTGCAGGCACCTGGGGAAAAGAAACACAGGTGGGCCACTGGAAGGGGCAGGGGTCAGCCCAGAGTCAAGACAGTGGCAAGCCTTGGGTCTGCTGCCGGCCTGGTGGTGGTGAAAAATAGCCTAGGGTCTCAGCCTCTGGGGACTCAGAGATGGACTATTGCACAGCTCCCTGCCCCTGACCCCCTAGTGTCCGATGGGCCTGAGGTGGAAGCCAGCTGCTCATGTCCCCAGAAGAGAGGCTATCAGAAATGAGCCAAATCCACACCTCTGGGTCTCTCTCCCTGAGACAGTCTGCATGACTGCAGCCAGGATCTCAGCCTTGGGGTGTGGGATGGGAGCAGCAGGGGGAGAGCATGGAGCGCCAGGTGCTAACAGTGCTCACACAGAAGGTCTAGGACATGCCAGTGACCCTTTAAGAGCTGACTGCATACAATGTACAGAAAGGAGCCCTGAGGATTTTCTTTCCAGACAGAATGTAAAGGGTTGGGTGAGACCATCAGGCTCAAATTTAGCCCTAGGATCTGAGGAGTCTCCACACTGGATGGCCAAAGACCCTGTTGGGGCCCAAGGGGGTGGATGCCCAGTTCCCAATTTTTCCTCCAGGGCCTGGGGCCTGGAAAGGGTGAAGGACAGTATCAGCGAGCACGGGGTGTATATTCGAGGTTAGTGACTGAGTGTAAATGTCCACAAGTTTGTGTGTGAGACTTGGAGAGGAGGGCGTGAGTGTGTTCCTACGACTCTGTGAGTGTGTTTATACATCTCCTATGAGCAAGTGTATGTGAACATCCCTGTCTGTGCGTATGTGTGCATAGGACTGTAAGTATCTGCTTTCACCTTTTCCTTGATTTGGGGGGCCAAGCGGTCCCCCAAAGCTATGGAAGCCTTTTTCTTGTTACCAAGCCCCAAGAACGCTTCTTCCTTTGCTTGGATCTCCCCTCTGCCTTTTATAGTCTCCCTGGGGCTTGAAAATGGGGCAGAAAATCCCAAGAGAATTTGTTAAGTTTGCTAACAAAAACGAGAGAAAGAAAATTCCCAGACCACCACCAGGTAACACACCCCCACCCCCACCCCACTCCCGTAGGAAGAAGATGCCCCTTCCCCTGCCTGAGGTCAGGCTGGCAGCCCATCTGTCCACATTTACCTCTCGGTGACTGCTGAGAGCTCTGAGCACTTCTCCATTAGCAGCTTCTCAATCTGTAGAAAAATAGATCCACTTACTTACTGAGTTCCATAAGCACTGGTCAAAGACCAACAGCAGCGCTGGGCCCTCTGGCCCTAAAGATGAAGAAACATTCATGGGATTTGCCACATAAACTACAAAACGTTGTAGGGATGGATGGCAAAAGAGATTATCATCAGATCTTAGGGGAGCTCAAAAAAGAAAAGAAAGAAAGAAAGAAAACTAAAGTTAGCTATGCCAGGGCATCTGGGAAGCTTCAGAAAAGGAATATTTGAACTGCGCTTCAAAGAATGAACAGAAGTTTATTGTCTGCAGAGTGCAGCAAGGAAAAGGATACAGTACTCAGGTGGAAAGTGAAAGCCCTAGGAAAGAGAAATAATGAAAGGGGCAGGGCAGGGGATTTTAATGGATCATGCTGGGTTTTGAGAAGAAAATTTAAAGTCACAGGCTTTGAAATTAGAGAGGCTTGGGTTGAAGCCACTTAAGCCATTCATGACATAACTTTGGGAAGTGACTTTGGTTCTGAGTTTGTTTTCTCATCTATAAAGTAAGGACGATGATGCTAGCTAATACTTTTAATCGTCTTTTTAAAATGTTTTTCATGCAGTAACTCATTTAGTCTCACAACAGACCTATGGTAGCACTAATGGCAGCACTATATTCATTAGGGTGATGGAACTAGGGTACAGGGAAGGTGAGTAGCTTGCCAAGGTCACACAGCAGAGCTGACATTTTAACCCAGGCAGTCTGGCATTCAAGCAGGTACACTATGCTGTTGCAAAGCCTTAGTGGTGACGTCTGCCTCACAGGTAGTAGAGGTTAAATGAGATGTGTGTAAAAACACCCAGCGTGGTGCCCGGCATGTAGGGGCTATCAGTAGAAGTCCTTGCTTTCTTCTATCCTTTTTTGGAAGAAAAGGGTAGCCCCTGGCCACCTTACGAAAGGTTCAAATTCCACACAGTTCAGACCCACACGTGTAAAAAGCATCCCCACTCCAAGCACCCTCCCAAGCCATCCAGAGCAGCTCACCTGGCCCATCTCCTGCGAGGAGCTCCTGCTGGCAGCGCTGTACTCACTGACCATGGAGCGGGCATGGCAGGTCAGCCGCACACTCATGCTATGCACGCGTGCCCAGCGGTCCTGTGCCAGCTTCTGCCCGATCCTGCGCAGCTCGGTGCTGATGACCCAGCCCCGCTTGAGCAGCAGCTGCAAGGGGTCCCCGGGCCCGGGGCCACCCGCCAGAATGAGGTCACCCTGTGCATCCTCCTCCAGACTGATGGGCTTCGCCTGCAGGATACACATGCATTCGCACTCGGTCATGAGCTTCAGGTCCTCCATCCAGCGCTGGACAGAATCCACTTGCATCAGGTGCAGCCTACCGGCAGGGGACAAGACCATCAATTCTCCACATTTCTTAAAAATTTCAATCCCAGACCATCTGATGTTTACTACATACCTACTACATACTCATCACTGTTTCTTGTGTTCGTTTACTTTAATCCTTATTTCTCATTATGTCCATCTTACAGATAGCAAGACTGAGGCACAGAGGGCCAGACAAACACAGGCAATGAAGAGTGACAGATAACTAGGTGATCTTTGCAAGAAGAACTGGAAATAGCCTAAAAATCAATATCCATGCTGTTAAGTGAATTATGGTACAGCCACATGGTTATATAGTGTGCACATTTATTTAAAACAGTGCTTTCCCAAAGTTTGTAGCAATGAAATATGTGTGCACTGATAGAACGGGGAAAGCAGAATGTAAAAATATAAACATGCAATTATTATAATTCTGTTTCAAAGCTGGTTCTAGAAAAAAATAATGAAAGGAAAGATAGTCAACTGTTAGTGGTTCTTTATAGGTGATGAATTAAAGCCTTTTTCCTTTTTTTCACCTCTCCTCTGATTTCCAATTTTTCTAACATGAACATGTACATTACTTTGTAATGGTGCAAAACAAAATATAGTCAGTATGAGAATATAGATTAGATCCCAAGACCAAATAAAATTCACTTTAAAATTTACTAAGTCAAATAAAATTCAGTAATTTCAGATTATTGAGGAAAATTGAACATGAATCTTGCCTGCCTCAAACCATTCTATACCTGCCACCAATCATTCTACAAATAAGTATTCAGTGCCTACTATGTGCCAAGTATATTCTAAGCCCTTGGGCTGTAACAGCAAACAAGTAAATAAAAATCACCTGTCCTGTGAAGGTTACACTCAAATGAAAGAACAATTTCAAAGTAATTTTCAAAATAAAGAGCAATGCATAGAATATGTTGGAACTACTAAATGCTATGAAGGAAATGAGAGCAGGAAAGAAGAATAGACAGGACTTGCGGGGGGGGTCAAGAGGGAGTGAGCACTATGATTTTAAACAAGTGGATCAGAGCAGACTCAGAGAAAGGGCCATTTGAGCCCAAGCTTGAAGGACATAGAGTGAGCCATCTGGATATATGGGAGCAAATTGTCTCAGGGTGATGGTGAGAACAGCAAGTGCAAAGGTACTGGGGCAGAAATGTCCTTGAGATGTGAGGAATAGCAAGGAGACCGCAGTCAGCCAGGAGGAGGGAGGGCGGGGTTGAGGTCAGAGCAGTGGAGGGTGAGGTTGGAGCAGTTCCTGAAGGGCCGTGTATGATCCAGCGAGCAATTGCTTCACCGGTAAAGCCAAGTCGGTGGGACAGAGGTACCAAATGCAAGTATAGTGACAAGGGCCTACTCCAGTCATCATGGTCAGGAGAGGTCTTTATGCTGACTATTATTTAGGGAGAAGGAATAGCACTTTCTGAATGATGCAACTGTTTGAATACAAGGTTTTTTTTTTTTTTAAAGATTTATTTCTTTATGCATACAAGAGCTGGGGTACAGGCCAGAGGTGTGGGGGGCAAGAGGATTCACCAGAGACAGAGTGGGGAGCAGAACAAGGAGATTGACTGAAACACACTGCTGAGGGGAGCAGCGGGCGAGTCAGGAGAGGTCTGCTGCACCATGTGGGTTGCTCCCTGGCTGGGGAATCGAACTTGTGCTCCAGAGATTGCAGACATCTTCACAGGTTGCGTCTTAACCCCTTGCACCACCAGGGAGGCCCTACAAGGTTCATTTTTAACCACAAGACTTAACAGTGTTTAATCACAGAAATCATACATGTTTTCTTAAATGTTAAAAAGCAAAATAAAAAAAAAAAAACCTCACCACTATCCTTTCTTTTTTTTCTCCTTTTCCTTTCATGAAAACAGCTATTTTGTAGAGAATGTGGCATCGCAGAGCCCTCCTGCCCATTCCATCTTTAGAAACTCATATTGAACTTCACATTAAATGGTCTTACATCACCTGTACTCTTCATAGACAATTGCTACTCCACTATACCTCAGTATGGCTTCCTCAATCCTCTACTCCCTCAAGGTAAATTAATGAGAATCATTCCCTATTTTCCCACTGACACCTAAGTGTATGTACTTGCAGGCTCTTCTGACCCTTTGCTTGTTTTACAAAGGTTTCACAATATGTACGCATTTTTTTTATTTTCTTACTCAACATGGAAACCTTTCCAAATTATCCAGTACAGACGTAAAACATTCTCTTCAACATCTTAAAATTATTCCATATTGTAGATATACCACAATTAAGCCATGTCCCCATTGTTGGGTACTCTGTTTTCAGCTCTTGGTTGCTGGGAACACCCTCATACGTATGTCTACACAGACTAACATCTTCATGCTCTGGCATAGACCCCAGGGGCAGAACTGCAGGTCTGTAAGTGGTCCGTATCCACTTCCCAAAGCTAATGCAGGAGAGCTTCCTCCATAGATATGGTCGCTCCCCTGAGTGAGTTCTCACTGCCCCCCTGGCCCCTGTTCCTTGACTAAGTCAAAATTCCTGAGACTTGGCTAGAGGGGCTTCCACCATCTGGCCCCAGCCTCCCTTCCCACACAGCTCCCTTTTGCATCTCTGCCAACTCTTAGCATCCTTGCTGTGAACACACTCCAGGTACACTCTGCCTCCCTGATTTCCAAATACACCACTCTCTTTCATAGTCCCCTGAAGCTTTGCACAGCAGTAATCTCTCAAAGAATCCCCTTTCCATCTTCTCTGGGTGGCCAGCTCCTCTCCCTGGGTAAGACCTTGTTTTAATGTTACCTTCTCTGAAAAGTACTAGCCAGAGCTCATCGGCTCCTCCCAGGGCCCCATACTCTCTGGGTACCCTCCATTAAAGCCACCCGGATGGAACTGGTGTGTTTGTCTGCAGTCTCCAAGTCCTGGGTAGGATGGTCCCTTGTATCTGGTTTCTTGCCAGCGCCTGACATCTCTCAGCTACTCCCTGAACATTTTTTTTAACATATTTATTTAAATTTTATTTTTATATTCCCCATACAATTACAATACAACCCCCTTACTTTGACCCCAAGCCCTCCTTTCCCCACCCCCCACCCCCCATAGAGTGTCTCTGGTTCATAGTTGTTTGTTGATTTTGATATTTTCTTTCTTATAGTTATTCTTTTTCCTGGTGCCTTATTTAAGTTTTCTGATTCCCTGAGCATTTGTCAGTGAATGAGTAGCAGAGTGGGAGGCACTTACTGCTGTTTCTCTGCACAGGACTTCATATGCCTCCTATACTCAAGGGTGCCCAGAGAGAGCCCCAAGACCAGCATGACTAACCGGAGATGTAAAGGATGGAAAAACATGATTGTTATGTTTAGAGATACAGGACTAGGAGGCAAATGGACCGAGGGACTTCAAGATACAACAAGTGAATCAGTCACTCATTGCTGACGCATCCTCTTCATAAACACTTCACAGTGGACATCTGTCATTTTTGTCTTCCTGGCATCCTTCCATCAATAGCAAAGACCCTTTACATTAGCTGCATCTTAGTGTGGCAACCTAGGCCAGCTTGTCCCCTTCCCAAACACAGGGGTGACCCCCCCCCTACCGTGGCCAGAGGTGGTGGTTGGTCCAGGGTGGCTCCTAAACTGAGTGGCACTGATTCCAACTCTTCCCCTAAATGGTGAAACTTAGAGCCAAGGGTCAGAGACTGGAGCTGTTAGACACAGGTCACATTCACAACAGCAACTTCAGTTGTGCCACCAAGTACTCCGGAATCATTTGGAGGCTGGGGAACAAGTCCAAGAGTTCATTTCTATATCTGCTAGCAAAAGAACCTTTTCTTTTTTTTTTCTTTAAGATTTATTCATTTATGCATATAAGAGCTGGAGTATAGGCAGGAGATGCAGGGGGTGAGAGAATTCACCAGAGACAGAGTGGGGAACAGAATAGGCAGACTGACTGAAACACACCGCTGAGGGGAGCAGTGGGTGAGACAGGAGAGGTCTGCTGCACCATGTGGGTTGCTCCCTGGCTGGCTGGGGATTGAACTCGTGCTGCAGAGGCTGCGGATCACTTCACAGTGGTGCTTAACCCTTTGCACCTCCAGGGAGGCCCTGCAAAAGAACCTTTTCTAAAGCACAAATAACTAAGCAAAATTGAGTCTGTACCATCTCTTGCAAAAGAGGTTTTCTGGGAATTCAGAGAGGGAGCTGTCCCTTGAAGCTGAGGATCAAGAGGAGGTGCTTAGAGAAGGTGACTTCAGAGCTCGGTAGGGTTTGGACATGTGAAGACAGTGAGGGCAGATTCCAGGATGCTCCAGACAATAGCGTAGGAGTAGCCAGTTGGGTTGTTATACATTCTGAAAAGAGGAAGCAGGGAGAGTGAAAGCTAGAAAGCTGGACAAGGCCCTGATCTTGAGAAACTTTGAACACCCAAGTAGAGATTAGACATTTATGTGGGAGCCCTGAGAAGCTACTGAAGGGTTGCAGGGCAGAGCAACAAAGGCAGATACCGGTGGGCTTGAAAGATGCTATATCACAACACCTGTGTCTTGTACCTGCTCAAAGGAAACCTCTGGTGCTGGGTGGTTATGAGCATATCTCCCTGGGGAAGAGTCAGGGTTCCTTAGCTGGAAACTACTCACATCCCTCACTAGTTACTGGCCTGGATGGCAAAGGGAGGGAGAGGGAGTCAGAGCCCCTGAATGCCTCCGGCCAGGGCCCATTAAGGAGGTCTAAATAGATCCCAAACTCACTCCCTCTACCTCCAACTTGCACAGAAGCATAATCAGTACACACTCCAGATCTTTAAGAATTAAAACAAAAGTTTTAACTTCAGAAGGTGTGTTAATTAAAATCCCAGTTGATTTATCACTTTGCTGGTAAGGGAAATGGAATGACAAAATTATCGATTTCTCCAGTCTCTGTGTATTTGTGTCGATGAGTGTCTGCGTCTGTGGATATGAACTCATCCGAGCGTGTCTGTATTATCTGCGTGTCCCTGTCTGGGTGTCTGGCTGTGCATTTACGCATCTCTACCTGC